CAATCTAGCAATCGTTTGATAGGAGAGAATTAGAAATATATTGTGAGAAGTCAGTTTAGTTTTTACATTGGGGACAGTGTGTTACTGCTTATTTTGAAAAGGTACTAAGTGATAGAATACTTAAATACTTAAGTAGAATAGTTAAATAGAATGATTAAATTAAATATAAAAATATTCCTGACAGTAAATATTATTATTTCAATAGTCAATAGTCAATAGTGCTTCAAGAGTTCGTTAAATTATCTTAAACTTCTTAAAAATATAAGACATCAAGTAACTAAATTAAAAAAATACTTTTCATCTATATATTAATGGAAACCGTACTGGTTTTAGAAATGCATCAGAACACATTTGAACTCAAAACCTATCCAGTACTTTACTGCGTAGTCCATTGTATGATATATACTTAATACCTTAACTAAAAAAGATTGTAATACAAGGTTATAATAAATTTTTTCTATTGATTTGTGTTAAATCCCAATCAGTTAATCTCATTCCAGCTCTTTCAGTTAATCCGAAGTTCTACTTCGATTTTTTTCTTTCGTAAGCTACGTATAGACTTGAGACTCTCGCTGGCTTGGAGGTTTTTGTTTTGTAGACCTACGTAAAATGTAGTCAATCTCTTTATCATTCAGCGATAATATATTTTCGGTTAAGAATCGTTGTTTGGTTCACATTTATGATATGACACTTGGTATAGCATTTGTATAGAATTTTTGTTAGATGCGCAGATGCCTGTGTTTGTCAAATCCTTACGGAAGTTGAGCGCTGTTAGCGATTATATTCCGTACCATACTACTGAACGACGTAGCTTGCTCAAAATTAAAAAGTTGCCCACTGGTAGATTACAGTTGACGGCAGCACTGTTGCATTTAGAGTAACTGCGCGAGAAATTCAAAAAGTCACTGGCTTATCAAATCGCCCTCGTATTTCATTAGCATCGTTCATAATTTGATTTATTTTTATACAAAAAAAGTATTTTTTAAATAAGAAATTTATATAATTGTTATAGATAATAATTTCATGTATGTATAATGAACTGTATAATGAACACTTTATTTAATTTATGACTTTATTCTGTTAAAATAAGCGATAACTTTTTATATATGTTAGTATCTATGATACTATATATCTACGGATTCAATACATAAGTTATTTAAAGTTTAATATTTTCTAAAATAAAATTAATAAATTGCATATATTTTTTTAAAAAACTAATAACAAATCAAATTTAATTTATTTTGAATTTATTTTCACAATTTCCTTTGAGTTTCAAAATAATAATACTTTTACCTTTCGTTGACTAAAAAACTTTCCATATTTTCACATTTTCAAAAATTACAAGCCTCAAAGAATGCAAAGAAGTGGAGTGGAGTAGAGTGCTTTTTGAGCACTTAGAATGATGAGAAACCTTTCAGTTATTTTAATTTATAAATGATTTTGCCAATATTAATATTTTTATTTTTGTAGCGAGCATCAATCAATCAATTATCGCGCACTCCAGGTACCATTTTAACGGGAAGCAATAAATTTTATACATTGACAATTCTCAAGTGTCCTTACACATATCCTCGCCCATAAAATCACTCGTTTGTGTATGTTAGTGGGAGCACTTATGTGTTGGTGTGTGAAGGCTTCAATTTTAATTTATTACTTAATGTTGGTGATAAAAATTATGGCATATAAATATACATGACTTCCCGTCATTTAAAATATGGCATTGGTTTTAAAATATGGAGAAGAGGAAATAAATTATTACATATTAAAAAGCAGAAAATTGAAATATTAAAAATAGGCAATCGAAAGAAAAATATTTATTGAATCTTAATTATTGGTTAATAGCATTTAAAAAACATATTTAAATTCCTCTCAAAATCCGCTTTGATTACAAAAAACATTCATGAAAATGGCACGAAGCTTGCATGTACTTTACTTAAGTTCCGGTTTAACAAACAAGGATTTCCTGTCCACAAAAAACAATTCACAATAAATTTAATGAAATACAAAATATTTTCACTGACACGAAAAAATTCGCTACTATAAAAACTAAAAATTTTCATTGGATTTTTGGTGGACTGAATTGTACCATATTTAATATTTATTTTATAGTAAATACACAAAAAGTGAGTATACAAAATTAATATTTATACTCATGAAATGTGCTGCAAGGAATCATTGAGCTAGAACCGATCCAGCTGGAGTTGCAGTACGCAGAATGCAAAGAGTGCTGGTCTCAGCTTCCTTTTGTTGTCTTGAAAAAATATTTGTGAATACAAAAATACAAAAAAAAATAATATTAGTTTTGTGTGACCAGTGAAACGGAAGCGAAAAGCGTAAAAAATATGCAATTTTTATATTCAATAAATAAATAAGAGTGGGATACTTTGTATTTGGCTAAGACCGTTCAAGTGAGTAGTAGTTGGAAAAACTGCAAAAATAATAACACTTCATTTATAATTGAACTTCGTATGGAAAAAATGTTCAATTTCTTATATATCATTATATTAGAATGACCTGATTAACGGAAGGATATTTAGAATTCTAATCGTGGTTTATATGAATATGTGAATCAATGAAAATGATTTTTAGTTATTACATTGTTATTTATTTATTTTTTACTGTTTTCTGGTAAATCAGAAATTCTTAAGATTGTTTTTTTATTATTATTTATAATTACTATAACTTATTTAAAATTTTTTGTATATGAACTTTCTCTATGGTTTTCTTTATCCTTATTTTGGCGATTAATTGATTATGGCTTTACCTGTCATTTTCGTCAAAAATGTTTGGCTATCATATATATGTATATATATATATTATATATATGTTATATTATTCATTTTATTCGAAATACAGGGTGTTGTTTAAAAAACTTTCGAAAACCTTTGATTGCATATACGCATATCTCAGTAGCTAAGATTGTAATGTTTTAAAGACAATTGTTAGTAACGTTTTTTTTAGATAATTTTCGGTTGGCTAGATAATAGACATTAGATAATATTTTCTAAATTTAAATAAATAGAATAGTTCAGCAATTTGAGTATTTAACATTAGCTGGGCTGTATGTT